CCCCTCCCCCCCCCTCATCCTCCCTGGGGCTGATTAATGCGCCTCGCGCTTCGGAATAATGAGGCCCGGGTACTCTTGTTGTTGTTTTAAAGTCGGAGTTGCGTGATAACATGGTGGGAACGGTGGCGTGGCGTGAATTGCGATATATCGATTGTTATGGCATTTAAACCTGTGGTAAAGAATCGATTATTAAGGTGTTCGCTGCGAGCACCCTGTTTGTCGATACTTTTCCATAGGTTTAAATGGCCTATAAATCGATATATCGCAAAGCACGCCACGCCACTGGGTGGGAAGCGAGATTCGGAAAGAATGCTGCCGTGCTAAGAATCTCAGCCTATGACTTGACGCCGTATGCTGCCGTGCTGAGGAAGAACGCCGTAAGAGCCTTCAGAAGTTGCCAAGTTTCCTCCGACAAAAACCGTATTTACAGGGAAATTGCGAATATTATTCTCCAAAATTTTCAGACAATTCTGTACGCAATTTGATCTAAAATATTTGAAAATTTCGAGGGAAAATATGCATGCATGTTGTCAAAAATACGTCTTTTAACGAGGAAAATTTGGCAACTCTCAAATGTTCATACGACGTTCTTCCTTAGCGCACGGCAGTATGGGTGTGGGAAAACGCAGTATGAGCCTTTAGACGTTGCCGGATTTCCTTTACTAGAAACCGAGTTTAACGGTAAAATTTGAAATATTATTCGTCGAATTTTTCAGATGATTTTGTTTGCAACTTGATCTAACATATTCCGAAAATTTCATGGAAGAATATGCATAACGTTCCTCAAAAATACATGTTTTATCCTGAGAAATTTGGCGATTCTTGAATGTTCATGCGGCGTTTTTCCTTAGCACGGCGGTATGGGAGTTCAGACGTCCGCCGTATTTCCTTCAGTAAGAATCGAAGTTAGTGAGGAACCTGTGTCACTTCTTCTTCAAATTTTTCAGACAATTTTACACACAGTTCAATGTAAAATATCTGACTATTTCAAGCGATATTATGCATAACTTTCCTCAATAATACTTGTTTCATCCGAGAAAAGTGGACAACTCTCGAATGCTTACACGGCTTTCCTTCTCTGCGCGGCGGGAAGTGAGGAAGTGGAGGGAGGCCTGGCCGAATATCGATAGCTACTGTTAAAAAATACGTATTTTCACTGTGTGAGAAGTAATTTGGTTGCGCCTCCTGAAATAACAGGAAAATGAAGAAGGTTGAGATGATCCGTCTCGAGTTTTGGCGTAGTCGAACTGGCTTTGCGATAAATCGCATCGATTAAGTAAAAAGCCTCAGCCAGTTTTAACGTTATTGCTGAAAAAAGGACGATAGCCTCTCCGCATAGCCAAAGAATCCTTCTGAGCCAAAAATTGGCAAAATTGAGAGAAATGAAAGCAGGATTCTTTTAGGGTGAAACCCTCGTATACAATACTTGAACTCTAATCAAATGCAATTATATATTAAAAAAAAAAAAAAAAAAAAAAAAAAAAAAAAAAAATGATTCTTTAAGCTCCTGCGCGGAAGCCATCGTCCTTTTTGGGCTAAAAATGCCAAATCTGCAGTGTCTTGGCAACCAAAATAGCTTCCACCTCTTTATCTAACTTGGTCCAAGCGAGGAATCAAAGAATAAAATGAAGAGTCAGGGATGGTTACGTTTGTATTATTTCGGCTATGTGTATTGAGGAAATAACAGAATACATGTATTACAAAAGTTACAAGTCACAAGTGATTATTGATGGTGAGCCCAGAGAATATTGAATACAGAATTTAATTATTTGATCCAAGGAAGATAAGGACATTATATAAAAAGTAGATTTTAGAGGTCCATACAGGTGCAAGTGCATGGCGGCAGAAATTGCGTATTTTAAAAATCTCCGATAATGCCTCAATTTTTCAGAAGTACTCCTACCAAAATACCTCCTTAAAATTTTTTGAAAATACTGATTCGACTTTCTGAACTGAAATTGACTAAAAATTTAGCCCTTGTAGACTGGAATCCACTTTACCTGCTTGGACGGCCACTCATGCAGTCTTTAAGTATGGATGTGAAATATTTTAGCGAGCATCGGCTGTTGATGCCTGGTCAACGTTGTAAAGATCCTTATTTGTTCTCCCTTGTGTAGGTATGTATAACCAAAGAGAAAAAGTAGTCGAATTCATAGTATTCATCCTTTTTTTGAATATGAATGACCTCCTTTTACCAAGACAGTGATTTTACCCCAGCACAATACCTCATTCTCTGTCTTGTTTTTTATGCTGACAACCACCAGCTCTGAGACCATTTCGTCGCCTTCCTAACACATGAGCGTACTAAACTTGACGATGAACTCTGTTGTCCATGTAACCCAATGCCTTTTCGAGCTCATCTCAAATTGTAGTTACGCCTTTTCGTCAGCCAAGCAAAGATTTACCAGTGCCCTCCCAGGCGTATAGAATTACGAGGAAAGGCAGGGCTCGAGCGTATGTTAGATGTTATGAGCGATCACAGTTTTAAAGAATTACAAGAAAAGCATCTCGTCTATCAGAACTTTTTTTCTTACTTGAATTTAGGACTTTTTTTCCCATCCTTACAACCAGAGAATCCATTGAAAAGGTAAAGCGACGATTAGCTAGCGTTGAAATGGACTGATTTATAATATCAAGTGCTCCCTTAAATTGTAGTACAAAAGCAAAACATCCATACTAAATTGTCTCATTATGGATCTTCAAGCGCTTTTCGTCGTAATATCAGTCATTGGGCAAGCTATATACTTTTTGATCGACTATTTTTAACTTCTTGTCTGGTATATTTCTGCATACGGTAGGTCTTCAACTCACTCATACATTTGCGTTGAAGTGGAAGCTCAATCGGGCAGCAGGTTAAAGGTAGTATAGTACAGCCCAGAATGAAGAAACAAAATGCTGGAGGCGTCCATGAAAATGTCTGGATGAGATATTAATGTAGCACGTCAAATTAATTCTTCCTGGGCCCTCATTGTAACTTCTCTAATCTGAGATCTTTGTCAACCCGTGTAAATGGAGTCAATATCCAGTCAAATTAGCTCTTTGATGTCACATTGGTGCTGATTAGCAAGGAAAACAATCCTGGAACAAACGAGAGGCAATATCGTCAAAAAAATTTCGTTAAGCTACACAAATATTATAGTTTGTCACATTGTCACCAAACTGAAAAGTGTTCCTAGGGAAGAACGCCGCATGAGCCTTCAGACGCTGCCTAACTGCAATCGAAATTCTTTTTCACAAATTTTTTGGATAATTTGTAAATATCGATGGCTAAGGTGCAAAACAACGTATCTCCCTTGCGCTGTTTCGAAATGTCCGCTTCTATTATATTTTTTCAAGGAGGAACGTTAATTTATAGATTTAAAGTTTTACAGAATATTCTGCGAATGGAGAAGAAAAATCAAGGAAATTTTCAAGAAATTACTTGGATTAGTTTTCCAAAGAAAAAATAAAGCGTACCAAAAAGTCTGCAACGTCACGAACGAAGATACCTGGTTTCGCACTTTTGCCATCGATTTGTTGCTTCCAATTTTTAAGAGAACTTTTCTCATAATTTGATCCAAAGTGTCAGAAAATTTCAAGGAAGAATATTCAAAAGTTCGCTTAAAATTCATATTTTTTCCGAGAGGAAATTTGGGAACATTCGAACGTTCATATGGCGTTATAGCACGGGAGCACACACGGAAAAAAATTGAATGTTGTTTTAGCATTTATAAAGTTATGAAAATGTGAAACAGGTATAAATTCTGATTTTACAATAAAAAATGATGCTAGGTTAACTACGTCCACTGTTAAAAGAACAATTTCAATGTTGAGTTGGCATTTTCTTTCTTTCTTTTTGTTCTTTTTTTCCTTTTTTCCCCCTTTTTTTATATTAAATCAACATTGATACTTATCGTGCATTTTTTGACAGTACAAATGCTAAATCAACATTCCATTTTTATCCGTGTAGACCATCCCTTATCCCGTGGACAGTCGCCTTTTCAGAGAGTCTCCGTCCCTATGCTGCCGTGCTAAGCAGAACCGCCGTATGAACATTCGAGAGTTGCCAAATTTCCTTCGGTTAAATGTTTATTTTTGATAAAAATTATGAGTAATTTCCCTTGAAATTTTCAGGACTTTTCGGTGGAATTGCGAGCAAAATTTTCTGGAAAAATTGCGGAAAAATATTTATATTTTTACCAGGAAATTCTTATTTTATCAAAGGAAATTTGGCAACGCCTGAAGGTTCATACGGCGTTTTTCCTTAGCACAGCGGTATGATTGTTGGCGCTTAGAAAGCGAAAAGCGTAGAACGGTCAAGAGACCGGACTTTTCGCGAAGTTTAGGAGCACTACCAGGTAGTAGACTCCGAAGTGCGAGGGGACGTAGAAAACTGGTTCAATCGGTGGCGAGGTCAGCTCGCGCGAGCCCTGGGCCGGACGCGAGTGTTGTTGTGGTCCTGTCGACAGCTATTAACCCCGAATGACCGTCCCTGATGGATGCGAGGCGACGACGGACAGGGACACCGGACAGGGACAGGGGTCAGCCCGGTCGAGGGCCGGTTATTTGTCCCGAGTATTTGCATTTTAAACATTTTAAATGTAACATCATTCTCCGTTTTGTCCCCCGCCCGACCTCGGAGCCCCGGTGCCCGATTTGTTCCGCAATCAGAAATTAATTAAAGGCCGATCCCCGTCCGCACATGCTCAACCGGTTTTTAATCCGGATCCAGTGATCCAATTATGCTTTTTACTATGGAGTGATTTTCTACAGACTCGGCGAAAACGCCGTTGATGTGTTAGGTCCTGTCCACACGAGCGCAGTTCGCGGAACTTATTCCTCGAACTGCTCAGTTCCCGGAACTTATTCCTTGAAACGAGGCATGCTGTCCACCCGAGTTCGCCCAAACTGGAACCGGAACTTCAATAAAACTATACAATTATCGCAAAATAATATATTATTACGGCCGCCAAGGTAACAAAAATAAATGTCAAGACATGTAAAGGACGTAAATAACAAAAACAAACAAATTCACATAAAAAAACATATAAAGCAGCTCGGAGTATGGGAGAAGTTCCGGGTTTTGGAGGCATAAGTTTTTAGCTCAGCTAAAACTTGTTCCGGGAACAAGTTCCTCGGAATAAGTTCCGCGAACCGCGCTCGTGTGGACAAGGCCTTATAGATTTTATATTTTGTTTGTTATGTGACTTGATGGGACGTAATGGAGATAAAGATTCGATCGAAATTAACTGACCGAAAAATGAAAGCGTGAATCGATCGACGTGAACTGATCGACAAATCCGTGAATTGATCAAATTTTGTCGATCGAATCGATGTAAATTGGTTCACTTCGACCGATTCACGTTTTTTTTCAATCGATGCATGTCGATCAAATCCATACTCTCTTGATGTGATTCCCCATGATGACTCTAGATTGAGTTCTCAATGACTTTGATGGGATTTTTTTTGCAAAAACACGAAATAAATTAATAAGAAAAATAGCCGCACCAAAAAATTGAGTATAGATCAGCTTTGATGTTTAACCGGTTCATTTGACCAGTGCCAGGTCGTGTTTTGAATTTGAGAGCTCAGATTTTACTCATCGGGATTTTCAGTGTCAATTTTTATAATCTAAAAATGAATCTGAGGAATCTCGAATAAAAGAAGCATAAAATGTTCAAGACCAAGGTTGCTTTGACACAGGGGATGAGTTTTAGAAAACGTAATTTAAAAATAATTTTTTAACGGGATGGTAAAATATCGCCGAGCCCACACTATTCGGCGGGGAAATTAAGACGACAAATTAAAATTGGAATGAAAAATATGAAATGTAATGAGTATCAGTGAGAGACTGATGAATGAAACCAATACATAAGATAAATAAGAGTGAGTAATTTTATGAGTCGGTAATTTTGTGAAACTAACGAAAAAAGTCTAGTGATGTTTTGAAATGTCGAAAAGTCCAATACTTCTGATCGCAGAGATTTAAATTTTGCTCGTTCTGGAAAACCAACAAACTTTCTGTGCTTCATTATACTTTTCCGCATGCTTTGGATACACCCCTCCAACTCTCACATACATACGAGGACTCATCTGTAACAATAGCGGATATGAAAAATTACCTTTTCGACACACATTCAAAAAACTGTTTTGGCATCGAGAAAATTTTGAGAAAATACTTGAGGTGTATAATCTTCAAGATCTGTAAATTATGCCAGAGCCAAACCTATTAAATTTTTGTGTGAACAAAACAGTTTTCTAAGCGTGTTTAGAAAAGGTAATTTTTCACATCCGCTATTGTTAAAGATAAGTCCTCATATTTTATATTTTTTTTCTTCACTTTTTCACCGCCATTCTCAGCCACCAAAAATCCAATTCCAGCCCACCGTCCGCCGGGACAAATGAAACATTCCTTTGACATCGGTCCGAGCTCGAGGGTTACAAAGGGCAGTAAAAGTAAGGAGAATGGCTCGTGAAATTAAGAACTCCCCACCCCCGCTCAACCCAACCCCGTTCCACCCCCGACAAAAGTACGTCGAAAGCTCTGCGGTCTCCCGGGGACGAGGGGTGCCAGGTGTATCTGCGCGGAAAAAGGGTAAAAGGAGGCGCAGGGGAGCGGAACGGATTAGCTTAATTGGAGATAAGGAAACTATGCACACGGAGAGGCGAACTCGACTCCGAAGACAAGGAGCCTTTGGACGCTTTTGGACGCCTTTGGTGCGGTATCTGCTACCGGGATCCGGGAATTCGCAAGGTGAAACCCCGATGCGAAGATATTCGCTCGGCCGACCCGACCGGGAAACACTCCAACGCAAAACAGCCGTAACCACACTCCACCCCGACCCGCAGTCGCCACTTCCCTTAACGCACATCGAGGCTCAAATACAAACGCACATACTGTAGTCTTCCTCAACACGGCAGACTGTCCCTCTCTCCGCAAGGCGGAGCCATACCACTACGGAAGAGGCCCGTAACTCCATTTTATCGTGACCCTCGGAACGTGTTAGAGTGCGTGCTAGCCGTGGCGATCATCCATATGGAGTTACTGTTCTCTTACGCAAAATGGCGGAATAAAGTACCTCAGCAAAAACCACGGATCTATGAGAGGTGTGAGTGGGACATACGTGTTTTTTGTCTCGAAGGGCAGTCAACCGACTCCTGAACGGAACGCTACTGTACTCACTTCAATTATCCACATACCATTGCTCTTGACTCCGCGACAGTATTAAATACAAACGTAATACTCCCGTGCTAGGGGAGAACGGCATATTAGTTCTCAGACGTTGCCAAATTTACCCCGATAAAATAGGCTTTTTCAAGGAGATTTTTTTATGATTTTCGTCGGATATTTTGTGGGATTTCATTCGCAATTCAGACTACGGTATCTGAACATTTCTAGGGAAAATAATAACAGGTTTTCTTTTAAATTGGTATTTTGTATGGGAGAATTTGGCAATATTGGAATGTTCTTGCGTTGTTTTTCCTCAACGTGGCAGAATACATTCAAGGGTCCCCCCTCCCTCCCCGAAAAAGCGAGATACCAAGACACGGCGGGCTTAAAAACTCCGAGTCGCTGAAAAGGGGTAAATGTGGAAAATGTGTGTTCCCTTTCGGGTGCGCAACATCAAATTAAACCACTACACCCCCTTAAATTTCCGTGTGATTGCGTGCGCTTGCGAGCCGAGGGGCGTGCAATAAGCGTTACCTTCGAGACCGGCGGGTGGAGTGTTTCGTTTAACTGCAGTTCTTAATGTAAAATTAGCCGGGCAAAGGGATCGCGACTGCCACGCGAGGGATTCGAGTCCGCTTGTCGATGATGTGATACTTGAGTGAGTAAATTATAAGTGCTCGAGAAAGGGTTGAAGGAACTGCGAGGTGGGAAGTACTCACAAGGTTGGCAGGGTTTTGATGTGTGTGGAGGCGCGATGCGGATCTGGAAGGGATTTTTATCCATTGGCGGATCTAGCAAATTGGCAACATTGTTTTTTCTCCATTTAAACCTATAGAAATGTATCGATCCCTGAAGGGGCCAGGTGTTCTGACAAGAATCGATTATTTAGCGCAGGTTTAAATGGAGGAAATCCGGTGTTGCCAAATTG